CTCTTCCCTGCCTATGCCCCTCTGGCGTTCTTCCGTAACGGAGTAATTGCTGACATTTGCAGAGCACTCCCGCTGCCCACGTTTCCACTAACCCACTTAATTAGGTCCCTCCCTGGAGCAGTCCTGGGAAGTGGGTGCTGTGTCCTCGCCGTAGGTGCTAAACAGAGGCATGATTGGGTACCTTTCCTAAGGCCCCCAGCTCACGTCTTAGTTCAGGTTCTCCCAAAAGCCTACTGGGAGACGGGGACTGAAGGGCACATGGTTTTGGGGGGCAGTGCAGCAAACACTGTCGAGGAAGAAGGATAAGGAAGGAGGCCAGGACCGGGCATGCTGGTGCAGGGCACTGCCCCAACCCGAGGGCTCACGCTTCAGAGCTGTCCCACCCCAAGGACAAGGGATGTGCAGACTCCACAGGCTGCCGCCAGGAGACGTTATCCCCTCAGCCCTGAGACACATCATGGCCACCACAAGCCCTGGACGGTGAGGGCTGAGGGCTGCGTCTGGGCACCCGCTGGGTCTGTCATGGCTCAGAAGTGGAGGGGCTGGGATTGACCTTAAGCCCTGCAGAGTAGTCACTCGGCCACGGACCTGTGCTGGGGAAGACCAGCCTCCTGGGGACGCTTCCTACGTGCCCATACTCAGGTCACAGGTGGGGCGTCCCAAGGCCCCCGTGGGTCAGTGCTGGTCTGGGGTGCAGAGCTCCCTGCTGTTCCCCACGGGTCCATCTCCCCCCTGCAGGCCGCAGCAGAGCGAAGCAAGACCGTGATCTTGGCCAAGAACCTCCCGGCAGGCACCCTGGCGGCCGAGCTGCAGGAGCTCTTTGGGCGCTTCGGCAGCCTGGGCCGAGTGCTCCTGCCCGAGGGCGGCGTCACGGCCATCGTGGAGTTCCTGGAGCCCCTGGAGGCCCGCAAGGCCTTCCGCCAGCTGGCCTATTCTAAGGTGATGCTCCGAGACCAGAGTGGGTCTGGGAGGGACGGAGAGGGTGCAGTGAGCTGGTGTCGGGGTCTCAGTGCAGGCCTGGCACCGGGGGCTTGGCCGAGACCCGGCTAGTCCTGTCCCGAGTACGAATGAGACCCTGCTCCCACCCCTCCCCTGAGAACTCCGCTGGGTGGGAAGACTTGAGGGGGACCTTGCCCGTCCTGCAGGGGCCCTCCTGAAGGTGTGCCTCGCTTGGTTCTGGCTTTCCTAGGCTTTCTTTCCCCACGTTAATTCATATCATCCTTCTTGGTAACTTTTTGCTTCCTTGTACCGACAGTAAGATGATTGACGGGGCCAGCAGGTGGCGCAGTGGTTAAGGTGCTGGGCTTCTACATGGCCCACCGCAGTTCAAGTCCCAGACCTGGCATCTTGAAACACATCGGGCACATGTGTGCACATACCCCAAATCCTGAGAGAGCAGAGGAGAAAGGATCGTGGAAATCACCCGCGGGAAATGAGTTCTTCCTTTCTGTCCGTCTCTGTCTCTGGAGCGTGCACGTGCCCTGGAGAGAGTGCAGCCAGCCACCTGCTGGAACTCTAGTCTGCCTCAGTCCCAGCATACGTTACCTCATTTTCTTTTCTTTTTTTTTTTTTTTTTTTTTTTTGGGGGGGGATTTTTCCATTC